CTCTCTCTCTCCTGTGGTTTGTTTCCCCCCCCTTTTCCTTCATACCCTCACCACCTCTCCTCCAGCTCTCCCTCTATCCTCCTTCCCCTCCTCTCTCAACCCCTTCTCTACCCTCCTCTCTTCATCTGCCTTTTTTCCCCTCCTCGCCTATCCATTCACCCACCTTTCCTTCTCCCCCCTACCACCTTCCTTCTCCCCTACCACCTTCCTTCTCCCCTACCTACCTTCCTTCTCCCCCACCCCCTCATCACCCCCCTCTCCACCTCCCCTATCCCCTCATCACCTCCCCTTTATACAGCACTGGAGAAAAGTCCTAAGAATTATTCCTGTTTTTTTCGGCCAGTCTGATGTCTGGGCGGTCCCTGTGGTGTTCTCAACAGGGTATCTTACTCCTGAAAATGGCCGTATACCTCTCTTTTACGACGGAAGTAAACCATAAAAGGAAACCATAGAACACTCGTTGTAAACCACCTAATAAACTATGCAACAGGACATTAAAAGTAAACCAAGTAACTGGGTATACCTTTTACACTGTAATTACATAGGGCCTCTTGTCTTATGTATATCAGTTGCTAAAGGACTCAGTGTAAACTATTCAAGAAGAGTAGGAAAGTAAACCCTAATGTCAGTTATACTCTTTACAATATACTTATACTGGCCATATTGCACAACGTATATCTAAAACCATATAACATGTATGCAGTGTATATATTACATGTTGTTTGCTAATTTATTGTGTGGGACAAACTGTGTAAACAAATAAGTAACCTAATTTACAGTTAAAGGCAAACAATGTAAAAAATAATGTGTATTACATCCTTCAACGTCTTCTAATCATTTCATGTCCTCTCTGTCTCTCTCTCTTTCTCTCTCTCTCCCTCTCACTCTCCACACCGTGGGCACCAGGACCATTCTCCCCCTCACTGGTGCTCTCTACTAAGCCTTCTCCCTCCTTCGCCCCTCACATGCTGTACACTTTCCTACCTACTCCCCCTCTCTACAGAATGTCTCCTACACATACCCCCCCCCTCCCCTTCACTGCCCCCCCATTTACCCTACCCCACTCTGGCCCTTACCATACTCTCGAACTCATGAGTGCCCCTTCCAGCCTTACCCTCACCCTACAGTGCCCCATCCATCTCTCCCCTTCCTCTACAGTGCCCCTCCTCCCTACCCTACAAAGCTCCTCCTCAGCCACCTCTGCCTCCCCTCCCCCACCTTACACCGCCACTCCCCACACCCCTCCTTTATCTAAAACTGCTTAACCTCCCATCGTCCTCCCTCTCCTACGGTCTCCCACTCCCCTATTCTTTTTTTCGCTACGTTTTTTCGGTCCTTTTCCAGAGTATCATGGGACCTCTTCCCTCCCTTATCGGCGCAGTTGGCTCAGACGGTTCCCCAATTTATGATCCAAAATCATGGACCATTTCCCAAAGATCGCTGCACTGATGAAATATACAATCTTATGTCCGCGGCGACACACACGTCTATTTTGCCGCTGGACCAAGACGCATTTAGTGGACAGGGCTACTTGTGTCCACTTGTTGTCTCATGAAGATTTATTTCTATTCGTTACGGCTGAGGTTTACTCTTTGGCTCAAGATTCTGATGATCTCTTGTTTGTTTTGTTTGATTCGGTGTATGGATACCCGGGAAGGTTTAACGCTGCGATGGATTGTTCTTTTTTTTTCTTTTTTTTTTCTTGTAGGTTCAGATGATGCTTTGTTTACATCAGAGTCCGGATACTCACAGAGGCTTTACGCTTTGTTGAGGTATCTTTGTCTTGAGGTACAATTGCTCTTCCTGTGTTACTGTTTGAGACTCGACGTTAAGAAATGGTTATCAAAGGACTGGTAGGCATCGATTTTGAGGTCAATTATGTTTTTTTTTCTATGTTGTCGGCGTCTGAAGACTCACAAAAGATCTGTCACTGGTCTGAGAAAACTCGTAACTCTAACACCAAACTATTCACATGTTTTTGCTGTCGTCAGGAGATTCACAAGTTAGGTTAGGTTAGGTGATGACCACAAGATTCAGATGAACTTTTTACTTTATATAGATCTGTAAATATTCACTAAACCGACTTCTATAAGGCAATTCAATCCTCTCCGATGGTCGTGAGTATTGTAACTGGGGAGGCTGGAGGGTCGTGGCCTTATGGTTCTGATGCTCTTTTGTTTTCGCCAGCGTCTGGATTCCAGCGGATATTGGTTCCATTGATCTCGGTGGAATAACATTTGTAGGTTGTGTTATGGGAAAGGTCTCGTGTCTTATTGTTATGTGGGAGAAATAATAATGTATGTGGGTGAGGATATTGTCTAGCCAAGCAGTGCACTCTAGGACTGTACGTGATATACAGTAAATATAACATTGGTAAGTATGACACAACTTTAGGTAGAGTAAAAATGATTTATATGTTATACTAACCAAGATATAAAAATGTTAATAACCAAAAAAACAGCAAATTTATGATCAAGAATAGAGTTCAGTTAAAAAAAATAAAAAATACTCAGCCAAAAATAACAAAAAATATTCACAACAGAAAAAATAAATAAATAAACGTGTACAATCAATGAAAACTAAATAAACATAAAAAAAAATACAAATACAAATGCTAAGGAGACGCTACAATCCGACAAAAACACAAGTCTCTTATTTTAAAGTTATAATTTATGGTCATGGATGAGAGGAAGGACGAAACACTGCAGTAATTAAACAACATAACACGATGCACTGACAACAACAATCATGAACAAATTGGGGTTTACTTCATGACAATAATTTTTGTTAACTGTACCGGGGATGTGTTTATGCTCTCTCTCTCTCTCTCTCTCTCTCTCTCTCTCTGACTCACAAGAAAAACAAAGGGTACAAAAAACTAAAGAACACACACACGGTCGGCAGAGGCTTCAGGTAGAACGATAAAGCGAGTCGATTGTCAAATTCAACAGGTGAGCCTTTGTCAGTTATTTAAAAGACAACGAAGGAAGTCAGGGAAAAAATGGAGGCAAAAGAGTTTAATGTAAATAGAGAATTTTTGTTCTTCTTTAGACGCTGAGGAGTAAAAGAATATAAGAGCAACAAAAGAAGATAGAGAAATTGAAGAACAAGAACAAGATGAACAACAACAAGTAGAAGAACAACAAAAAAGAAGAATGGATGAATGAATGAATGAATGAAGACAGAAAATAAAGAATATGAAGACGAAGAAGAACGAAAGGAAAAGAATTAAACAAAAAATTGTCTTAAATGAGAAAGGAATATATTTTTTGAGGAAAAATTTGGCGTAAATAAAGGTATAATTTTTGGAGGTAGTTGATAGATAAAGGAAACAGAGAAGAAGAAAAGGGAAAGACAATACCAAGAAGAGGAGGAGGGGGAACAAAGATAAAGTAGTCAAATAAAAAGGAGAAAATATGAAAAAGGAAGAACGCAAAAAGATAAAAGATAAAAGAATAAGAAATAAAAAAAAAACGAAAATAAACGAAAAAAGATGAAAATGATAAAGGGTAAAATATAAAGACGACCCGAGAGTTTGTTGAAAAGAGGATAATGATGAAGAGATTATATTACTTGAGAGTTGGAGTAGGTGTTGGGTAGTGAGTCGAGCAGGTAGTGGTGGGGGGTAGCAGGTAGTGGGTGGTGGTAGCAGATAGTAGTATGTGGTGGTGGCAAGGTAGTAGTGGGGGTGGTGTCAGGTAGAAGTGGGGGTGGTGTCAGGTAGAAGGTGGTGGGGGGTGGTCGCAGGTAGTGGTGGGGGTAGGTAGTGGGTGGTGGTAGCAGATAGTAGTATGTGGTGGTGGCAAGGTAGTAGTGGGGGTGGTGTCAGGTAGGTGGGTGGTGGTGGCAGGTAGTGGGGGGTGGTCGCAGGTAGTGGTGGTGGCAGGTAGTAGTGGTGGGGTGGTGGTAGCAGGTAGTGGGGTAGTGGCAGGTAGTGGGTAGTGGTAGGTGGGGGGGTGATAGCACGAACAGGGTCAAGGACATCGACCACCACGCCCCCGAAGACATAACCCTGCCACTCCCCTCACCAACCACCTGCAGTGTCCTGAGGGTTATATGGTGCATAAAGACCCCCTCTCCCCATACCCCCTTCCTGTTACACCCCATTCCATCCATGCTCCTGTATATATGGTGGCGCATAGTATCCACTCCCTTCCTCTCCCTTACTGTACAACTGGCTTATAGTTTACCATGCTCCATCCCCTATACCCCACACACGCCCATCCCCCACACCCACACATGCTCCAGCCCCACACCCACACATGCTCCAGCTCCACACCCACACCTCACCCCCACACCCACACATGCTCCACCCCTACACCCACACATGCTCCACCCCTACACCCACACATGCTCCACCCCTACACCCACACATGCTCCTGTGCACTCCACATCACTAACCTGTGAATCCTGTAATGCTCCTCATGCTTTAAGCATCCGCTGTACACTTAACTACGCTCCTACTACGTCCTCTTCTATATCCACCCACGCTCCCTAAACTCCTCCTCCTCCTCCTCCTCCCTCCTACACCCATCCACACTCCCCCAACTCCTCCTCCTTCACCCACGCTCCCTCAACTCCTCCTTCACCCACGCTCCCTCAACTACTCCTTCTCCTCCCCCTTACACCCGCCCACGCTTCCCCCCCACACACCGTGAGCCCATCGCTTCACTCCCCACATTATATCTCTCTAAGTCCTTTCAGGGGAGAAATACGAGCGAGTCTCTTTACTGGTAAGTCGCGGGCGAGTCGTTCTGCCTGTGGGGTCAATGGCGGCGCACCAGCTCCGCCAGCCAACATTTGTAAGCCCGTGAAAGAGCAAGGTCTTCCTGGCCGAAATTTGTGTGGGTTTTAGCGAAAGTATATGAGCTTAATAGCGGTAATAAAAGAAAAAGTTAGAGTAAAAGGAGACGGAGGGATGAAAAGGAAGATGTGCTACCCGGAACTCGGAAGAGGGAAGGGAGGCGTAGATATGGAATTTTGTTATTGCAACATTCGCAATGGTCGTTTGCAGGGAGGTAATGTTGGCTCCGGGCTCTGCCATTTGCCCGAGTTTTGTTTACATTCTGAACCTGCAGCTGATGTGCGCCTTCCGTGGCTTGTGTGTCCGACCTGCTTTAGAAATCCCCGTTGACAGTAAGCTGAAAATGTGTTCCTACTTAAAATATCAAAACATAAAAATACGTAAATGTTCCATGTATAATTTTCCACTGTTTAACTTGTACTAGAAACTTTCATAGCGAAGTGAATGCATCTCTTTACTCAAAATATTGCGAAAATAAAATGAAAATGCCCCCCCACCTCCCCCATGTATATTTTTGTCAGGCGTAACAGAAGCGCTGGTAGCAAGCTGAAAATGTATTCCTACTCAAAATATTAAAAAGAAGAAAACATGCATGAAAATCCTGGTGTATATTTTCAGTCTACGCACCAATAGGACGCCGAGAGCAAGTAAAAAAAAATACCTCTCTGCTCTAAATATTAAAACAGGGAATAAATTTGCTGTCTGAACGAACTAGAGTTGAAAATATCTATTCACTATAATCAACGTAAATCATCAAAATCAGAAGAAAGTAATTATAAAACCAAGTAACTAAAATTATAATCGAAATTAGCAATCATAAAATAATAATAAAAATAATATATAAATGTGTTGCTATATTTTATCTGACCCCCAATTAAAACTTACGTAGTAGACAAGTGCAAAAGATTTCTCTACTTTAAATAGTGAAGGGAAAAAAAAACATGAGAGCTCGTGTGTATATTTTGTGTGTGTCTCTGTGTGGGAGCAAGTGGAAAATATCTCTCTATTCAAACTACTGAAACGAAAGACTAATTACTCACAAATATTTACAGTCGTTTCAACCAACAACAAATATGATCGAGAATAAACCTGAGATATAATAATAATAATAATAATAATAATAATAATAATAATATAACAACAATATTAATACTAATACTAATAATAATAATAATAATAATAATAATAATAATAATAATATAACAACAATAGTAATACTAATACTACTACTAATAATAATAATAATAATAATAATAATAATAATAATAATAATAATATAACAACAGCACCTCATTGTATGCTGTAAATAAAAGGAAAATTATATACCTAAATTGAAAGACAACGAAAAATAACAATGAAATGAAAATAATAATGAATAATGACTTCATTATATACAAAAAAATATGGATACAAATTAATATTGTATATAAAAGAAATATAAACAATTTAGATAAAATATTAAGTGTTTATCATGGGATGAACAATGAATATATATAATGAGAGTATTGCAAGACTAAATTATTATGAAAATAAATAAATATATAAACAAAAACAACACAAAATTAATCAACAACAAATAAATAAATAAATAAATAAATAATGTACATGAAAAATATGTTGAAAGTAATTATGAACAATGGCTAAACGTATAATTAAACAAGAAATAAAAATGAGTAATGGAAAAATATATTTATTAATTTTCTAGGACTTGTGTATGTTTGTGTGTACAGAGAAGACACGCGGCACTGACAGGTTATCAATATATCTTACCCAGAAAATGCAAAAAAAAAAAAATATGAAACTGCAGCTGAACATTGGCCCCCCCCTAAAAAAGAAAATAATAATAATAATAATAATAATAATAATAATAATAATAATAATAATAATAAAAATAATAATCATAATAATAATAAATGAGTCTGCACGTGTTCTCTGCCCCCAGTTAGAATTCAAGTCAGAAATAAAATAAAAATCTCTCGTCTAAACATTGACGGGATATAAAAAAAAATAAATAAAAAATAAACCGAAAATACGCCTGTTTATTTTTATTTTTTGTTCGACCTTTAATTAAAATCCACGTGAGCAAAAAGAAAAAAATTGAAAATATCATTCGACTCAAAAATATTATAATGAAAAAAAGTAAATGCAAAATATGACCGAGTATTTCTCTGTTTTGGCCTCCAGCAGAAAAATTCCCCTTGATGGCGAGTAAAAAATCTTTGACTTCTGGTTAACATCATAAATAAAAACAACTTTGAAAAAAAAATCTGCCTTCATTGTACTCCCAGACGAGCTTCACATGAATAACAGACCAGTAAATCAGTCTTGAAATCATACATAGTGAAAGAGGTGAAATGTGACCCTGATAAAGGTATTTGCATGACCTGGTGATGGGGGTAGGGGGGGGGGGGAGATAACAAACTAAGGCGGTGTGTGTCTTGAGGAGATATGAGATAACGAGCAAAAAATGAGCCTTTCTTTACATTATTCGGAAGATTTTTTTTTATAAATATTTGTAATAACAGAAGACTAGAATGCCTGAGTGATGTGTATGATGGCAGACAGACAGTCAACCAGATGAGATATACCACCCACACCATCAATCCTACGGGAAGAACACGAGTTAAAACTTCGTATTAATCCCGAACTAAATTTTAACCTAATACACACGAGTACTGTAACTAATATAACCCGTACCACATAACACGTTTGATTTCCACACCTTATAACAGTGTTTCAATGAGTACAGTCACGCCAGACAATCCTTCGACGACGCTTGGCAATATCTAACACCTTGTGGCTTGTAAAGGTTTAAGACAGGTAAGACACTACTCTTCTTAATAACATCATACTAAAAACGTAAATAAATATACAAAGGAAAATATAAAATCAAAATCCTACTTTCCTACCGTGCATGACACTCAACGGGCGAGATATTAGCCAAAAAATAATAATAATAATAATAATAATAATAATAATAATAATAATAATAAGCTTGAAGGAGTGAAACATTTATTATTATTATTATTATTATTATTATTATTATTATTATTATTATTATTATTATTATTAATATTAATATTATTATTTATTATTATTATTATTTTTATTATTATTATAACCTTACACAATACGATGGAAAAGTCGATACACATTCATCCGGTAGTATTTTAAAACTCATAATGAGACACAAGTGAACAAGATTTCCTCATTTACTGCATTCATTAAAACACATTAATGACGCTATGAATAAACTTACACTTTTAAAGATTACTCGTCAGACAAGCGTCCTAAAAAAAAAAGTCAACAACATTACAATATGAATAATGTCCGTTTGAGTGAGCCGCTGTACTGAGAGCGACTCACCACAAGGACATACAAACTATTAAAGCAGATACGCGTCTATCATTAATATCATTCAACATTCTTTTTTTTAGCATGAGGTAAAATGAATGAATCGAGGTATAAACATATGATTTGTAATTCTCTTGTTAAATCTCTCACAATATATTACCCTTCTAGGATTAATTTCTCCATGTTTGTATTTCTAAATTCTCAAATTACTTTTTTTAATGCAGTTATTATCTCTTGCAAATATTATCTTTATGAAAAAAGTGTAGTCACGAAAAAGTAACAATAATATAGGAAAATTTTTGTATAAGTTGTGTTAAATAAAGTATGATAGCACAACACTCCCAAGATAACACAACACTCCCAAGATAACAACAAAATACTCACAAGATAACGACACAACATTCACAATATAACAACACAACACTCACAGGATAACGACACAATACTCACAAGATAACAACACAATACTCACAAGATAACAACACAATACTCACAAGATAACAACACAATACTCACAAGATAACAACACAATACTCACAAGATAACAACACAATACTCACAAGATAACAACACAATACTCACAAGATAACACAATACTCACAAGATAACAACACAATACTCACAAGATAACGTCACAATACTCACAAGATAACAACACAATACTCACAAGATAACAACACAACACTCACAAGATAACGACACAATACTCACAAGATAACGACACACTCACAAGATAACGACACACTCACAAGATAACAACACAACACTCACAAGATAACAACACAACACTCACAAGATAACAACACAACACTCACAAGATAACGACACACTCACAAGATAACGACACACTCACAAGATAACAACACAACACTCACAAGATAACAACACAACACTCACAAGATAACACAACACTCACAAGATAACAACACAATACTCACAAGATAACGACACAATACTCACAAGATAACACAATACTCGAAGGATAACACAACACTCACACGTTCTAAATAATTCTACATAATATTTCAACATAATTTTCTGCCTGGCGGTGTATTCACATAGCCGAGGCCTCAGTTATCAGTGTGTGTGACGCGCCACCAGAGACCAACACACAGGTTTTTCAATATAAGATAAGAAGTGAAAAGGTCACCTGTTATCTGTACTCTATTCTATCATACGCGAGGAGAGGCCAGAGATAAGAGGGAGGATGCGGTAGTGGTGACAGAGGTCGAGGGAGGATGCGGTAGTGATGACTGAGGTAGAGGGAGGTTGCCTGAGGTCATGGTGTGGGAGGTGATGTTACTGTGAAGGTTTCTGACAATACGAGGGAGGTTGTGTCAGGTCAGGACATCATCTGACCTCGTGAATATTTGATACAAGAGGTCACGAGAGGTCAAGACTCTGAGTAAAATGAAGTGACTTTTTTGACAGCCTGAAGGAGGTCATCACAGGTCAAGACACAAACTGACACCATTTAGAAGTTAAGACAGGTCAAAGTCATGTGATGTGTGTGTGTGTCATTACGGCCACGATAGTACATCAGGATAACAAGTGGGGTCACAGGTCAACAGAAACCAACCTCAATTCAACCATTTAACGGGGTTTTTTCTATTGGTATCTCTATTTCATTCCATTTCCCAATCATCCTCTCTCTCTCTCTCTCTCTCTCTCTCTCTCTCTCTCTCTCTCTCTCTCTCATCCAGGAAACACCGTGCAAAAAAAGACCTATTAAGTTAATGAAAACGTACACACATATAGGGAGGAAAGTCAAGCCTGTTTATAGTTAGTATATCGCTGTTGCCAATTACGTTCATAGTTTTCATATCCGTACAACCTGGCCTCACCTGCCCTGGTAAAGGCTTTGGGGAGTATTTATGAATGGATAACACTCTTAATTAGTTACTTTACTGGAGATATTTTATCCTTTCATTTCTACAGTATATCTCCTCTCTCTCTCTCTCTCTCTCTCTCTCTCTCTCTCTCTCTCCTTTATCCTTTTCACACACACACACACAGTTCTTTTCTCTTTCTGTACTGATATTTCCAGTCAGAATATAACATCAATACTAATTTTTCATACTACCAAGATTCGACGACCACAGTTCCTCAATGTTGTATTACCGATCATCTACCACCAGTTATGTACCCCTCAATCTGTATGTACCACAAATTCTGTATGTACCACAAATTCTGTACCACCACGAGTTCTAACCCATCACTTGTGTACCGTACATCTTTATACCACTTAGTTTTACATAACGAAATTCGCACCGTCAATTCCGAATAGTGCCAGTTACGGACCGCCAATTTGCACGGTTTGAACACAACGGCTGGTTTTAATTCTTTATCAATTGAGAACCCGACGGTGTATGATCCTCTCCCTATATTCCCGGACCTTTTGAATAGAACTCTAGAACAATGTATTTTTATTTCCATATAGATTGGGGGGAGAACAGAGAAGCCGGTGCAATTATTCCAGCCTCTGTGTACACAATGGCCCCAACCGCATATTTTTTTATAATGTGTCTTTGCCTGACGTTCTCCCCAACACCGCCCAATAACACCAAAAACACTTATTCATGTGTTTGTTTTTGTTTTGTTGTTGTTTGGTGTTTTTTTTTTGTTTTGCATTCCCTCTATGGACCAGGTGTAAAAAAAAAAATAAATAAAAAAAATACTTGTTCCCTGGTATTGTGTTGGATATTATTCACTAATGGACACCGCTGTCAGCAATATTATTTTTAGACTTGGCAAAATAAACGCGAGAGTGACAGCCTTTCACGCCTATTGTCCCGTACAGTTCACAGTTCAACAAATTATTGGGAGATTCTCTTTGAGCGGAGTGACGGTACATATTCCTTTTGATGAACACGGGGGGGAGGGACAGGGGTGACGGGGGGAGGACGGGGGTGAGGTGAAGGACGGGGGTGACGGGGGGGGGGTTGTGAGCTTGTCAGGCATATTTTATTGTTGTAAATTGAATTATTTTGATTAATATCTTTATCAACTTAAGAAATATCTACGATTATTTTTTCACGCACAAGATAAAATGACAACAACTGGTATATATACATCAATAACTATAAATGGTTTATTTTGTTCCAGTGTGTAAAATAAAAATAACAAACTGAATGTTCCTGATTTTCGCAAGCAAATTATTAATATCTGCAATACCTCAGAAACATCACTTTTCATTAATTAATTTCGATATACCTGGAGAAGAGAAAATTCTAATAGCCAGCAACTTCCAGCGAGCCAAGTAATACCTTTCTAATAATCATAATCCTTTTACCTTCCACAAACCTCAATAACTTCTGGGGTTTCATTTCGAGGAATCAGTCAGTGTGTGTGTGTGTGTGTGTGTGTGTGTGTGTGTGTGTGTGTGTGTGTGTGTGTGTGTGTGTCTGGCAAATATCAACATGACGCTGTTCAACCTCTGTGTATAACGTGTGTGTAGTTTTTTTCATGGTACCATCACGTCAGTTTTAACGTCAGTGTATAATAATGAATAATGATGAAGAATGAAGCCCACCAGCATACATGAGTTTAATGAATTAATTATTTCTATATTGTGTAACTGCAATTTATGTCGTGTTTTTTGGGGGCCAGTTCAACATCATTAACAATTAGAAACCTGCACTATAATTTTAATAATAACTTTCCCCCCTGTGTGTGTGTGTGTGTGTGTGTGTGTGCCATAATGTAGGTCATCCCTGGTCATCCCTTGCTGTGTGTACCACCGCAGGTCAACAACATATAATGCACCACAACAACATAATCCCCCCCCCTCCACTTACATCATCCCCAGACCAGCCAGTACCCTCCACCCACTGTGCTATCATCTCTAATTCTCTCCCCCCCGCTGGTGTGTTATCATGCCCCTGGTACACTATCATCAGGTCGACACCACTTACCCCCTATTACTATCATTCCATCCCTCTGTTTACTTCCGCTGCCATCATCCTGCTATTTATTTTGATCAACGTACCGTCACTGGGTCCCCCTTTTGATCCCGTCAGTGTCCCTTTAAATACCCGCATTTGGAGCCCACAACCCTCACTACCTCATCCACCCCCCTCCCCTCACTCTCTCCTCCGTCTACTGTCCGTATCTTCTCCCCTCATCCCCTCCTCCCCCTTCTTTCCCCTCTTAATTATCCATTTACTCTCGTGTTTGCAAATAAGTATTCAGATGCAGATGTTGAGGATTCTACCCCTGGTTTTAATGGCTCTATCCCTCCGCAGTTTCGCCTGTGTGTGTTATGTGTGTGTGTGTGTGTGTGTGTGTGTGTGTGTCTTATGCACTCGAGAGGATCCACCCAACTCATGCCCTTGTGTTGTGTCTCCTGCAGGCGAGGGTCGAGTCCCGCGGATCACCGAACACCCGACCAACTGGACCGTCCCGAGGAACGACCCCGTCACGCTCAACTGCGACGCCGAGGGCAGACCCAATCCTAAAATCACCTGGTATAAAGACGGCGCCCCTGTCAAGCCCTCGCCCCACCGGTTCATCCTACCCACGGGCTCGCTCTTCTTCCTGAGGGTCTCCCAGAGCAAGAAGGAGAACGATGCCGGGGTGTACTGGTGCGTGGCGAGCAATAGGCTGGGCAGCGTCAAGTCTGCCAACGCCTCCCTACAGATTGCTTGTGAGTACCAACCTTTGTATTGTGTTGTGAGGGAGGGAGGGAGGGAGGGATAAAAACACTAAACAAACACACATGAACAATAAACCATATAAAAAAATACACAAGAGCAATAGAACAAACAAAACAAAATACACATAAACCATAAAACACACAAAACAAACTACACGTGAATAATAAAAATACCAAAAAAAAACAAAAAACACAATTCCACCCACCTACACCATTGTCTTGAGAGAGAGAGAGAGTCCTCATTTAATTACCTCGAGCATACTCCCACAAACCAGTGGTATTATATGAAGTGACTTTGAAGCCAACTGCATAAATTATATATATCTCCCTGTAGGTGGAGTTTAGAGATAATAAAACCATCCTAGAAATGAGCCAATTATACCTGAGAGGGCAAGAAAAATACAACCCCAGGGCCTCGGTACCTAAGAACACTGCAGTCCCCCCCCCCCTCCGCCCCTTTCAAGACCTGGCCAGAAGATTGTTTGAGTGATGAAACCAAAACATTAAGTTCACCGAGTCCTAATTGTTGTGAATGTGAGCATCATCATAGCGTCGTGCCGGAGGGTGGAAGAGGAGGATGAGGAGTAGGAGAAGGTGAAGAAGGAGGAGGAGGAGGAGAAGGAGGGGGAATAGGAATAATTTAGTAAGAGAAGGAAGGGGTGTGAAGGAGTGAGGGGTGGTGGGGATGGAGATAATTTAGGAGGGAAGAGGAGGAGAACAAGAAGGTGGGTGGAGAAGGAAGGATGGAAGGAATAAAGTATGGAGAGAGAGAAAGAAGAGGAACAGCACCATCAGCATGAACACAACTACAACGAAGGGTGCGAGAATAAAGGAGGAAACAGCAAAAATAAAAGAGGAGAGCAGGTGAGAGGAAGAGAGGGGAAGAGCAAGGGGAAATGGATGAGAGAGCAAAAGGAAATAGAGGAAAGTGGTATGCAGAGTAAGTGGGGGGGAGAGAACAAGGGAGAGAGAGAGAGAGAGAGAGAGAGAGAGAGAGAGAGAGAGAGAGAGAGAGATGAATAAAAGAAAACAAGGCTGAAGTCTTAGTAACCTGTTCCATGGTCCGGAAACTGAAAGACTCGTAAGATATTTTCCCGTTAAGAGAGATAAGGGACAGAAATAAATTACGGTACTTTCTATGTATAATGTCGTAAGTGTGTTGTAGCATCTCTTAAATAAGGCAGGTAGATCTATCGAATAATTATACTAGTCACAGGTTAATAATAATCGACAAGGGATTATACCACTACAGGTTAATAATTGACAAGGAATTATACCAACACAGGTTGATGCAAAAAGACGACTATGAATTATGGGGTTAATAGCATAATATTATAGACGTTGAGAGAGAGAGAGAGAGATGCACTACAGTCATTCATCACACACTGTCAGCGGACCAGCAGTGTTGTGTTGCCCATCGCCACCTACTCCAGAGGAGACCTTCTCCTAGCGCCTGATCTCCTAGGCCAAGGTCTCTTAGGTTAGGATCTCCTAGGTAACGATCTCTACTTCGTGGTCTCCTAGGTCACAATCTCCTAGGTCATGGTCTCACTGGTTATGGTTTCCTAGGCCACGGTTTATTACCTCACGGTCTCCTAGACTACAGTGATCAGGGTCAGGATCTCCTAACCCACGATATCATAACTCAAGATCTCCTAGCTGGTTGCCTCTATTTCACGATTTCCTTGCTCATGAACTCCTACCTCAGGTTATCTTGGCCACCGTTCATTTGACCATGGTCTCCTATAGGTCACAGTTTAATACTATATTCTAGGACCATATTTCTGGTCTCGTTGAACTAGGCATTACAATTGTGCTCTCTCTCTCTCTCTCTCTCTCTCTCTCTCTCTCTCTTTCACATTTTATCTCCCAGGATCAACTAGACCTTGGCCTCCAGAGGGTCCGGTAAGACTCTTGGAATCCAGAAGAATGGAGATCTGAGCAGTTGAAATTTTCTTTGAGAAATAGTTTTAAAGTTTTAGTTCCCAGGGTATTTATCGTTATAATAGACCCTCCGTAAGTATACACAAACACACACACACACATGCATAAACACAAACACACACACACACACACGTATACACACAAACACAGACACACAGTTAATTTCTGTTTTCCAATCTACCCAAGATTTTTTTTTACATAACTTAAAATTATATAGACGTTTTCCTAACAACGAGATCACTAGATAAATAAACACACTTACAGACAGATAAACAAACAGACAGACAGACAGAGAGAGACGTTCTGAAACACCCAACTCTGCCACCACTACACTATAACATGTAGTACATATACCCAGGGAACGAAAAGCGAAAATTGTATTCCATATACCGGGAAACTCTCTCTCTCTCTCTCTCTCTCTCTCTCTCTCTCTCTCTCTCAGTCAATTTATACTTTCCTTCTATCTATCTATCTATCTATCTGGCCAGTGCCCCTGAGCCACATCACCGGGCCATAAGCGCCTTTCCCGCAGTAATGATGGCCAGGATTGTCCGTTAGAGTTGGGTACACACCTTCCCTCACCAGCGGCAGGCGCAGCAGGTGACTCAGTGGCAGGCGCAGGAGGTGACTCAGTGGCAGGCGCAGCAGGTGACTCAGTGGCAGGCGCATGAGGTGACTCAGTGGCAGGCGCATGAGGTGGCTCAGTGGCAGGCGCAGAAGGTGATTCAGTGGCAGGCGCAGGAGGTGACTCAGTGGCAGGCGCAGCAGGTGACTCAGTGGCAGGCGCAGCAGGTGACTCAGTGGCAGGCGCAGCAGGTGACTCAGTGGCAGGCGCAGGAGGAATGACAAGAAATTTAGCATCAGTAGTATAAGCAGCAACAACATTGTCAGTAGCTGTAGAATCAGGGACAGCAGAAACCACAGCAGCAGGAGTCACAGCACCAACAGCAGGAGGAGGAGGAGGAGCAGGAGGAGGAATGAGAAGCAGCAGTAACAACACACACGAAGGTTAAAAAAAAATGAGTGAAGGAAAATGCGATGGACCAACACACCATTAAGGGATAATGAGGCAAAGAAGCCAGGCCGATGACACCACAGACACAAAACACTGACCTAAGAGTTCCTGCCACCACAGCAGCTGCAGGGGTAACAGCATCAACATCATCGTCAGGAGGAGGAAGAGGAGGAGGAGGAGTAGTAGGAAGACCATTACTCCCAGTGGTGAGCTTCTGATGGATTCAAGAGCAAAATACTGTAGTGTGATATTATGTTGAGGCTTATATACGGTACTCTCTCTCTCTCTCTCTCTCTCTCTCTCTCTCTCTCTCTCTATCTCTCTCTCTCTCTCTCTCTATCTCTCTCTCTCTCTCTCTCTCTCTCTTCCCCCATCCTACCGCTCTCTCTATTTATATCTTTATTTGTACATATCTCCTAGTCTCGACGAATCAATATACAATATGTACATAAGACTAGGACAATACCACCCCCCCTCCCTCCCTCAGCACCACCACCATGCATCAAGCTAACACTCTATCTCTGTGCTTTCCAGGGATTTACACACTGCTGTCTGTGTGTTTCTCATGTTCCACTATTATCTCACGTTGCTGTCTCTCATTTGTTATATCTATCATTCTATCTATGCTCTCTCTCTCTCTCTCTCTCTCTCTCTCTCTCTCTCTCTCTCTCTCTCTCTCTCTCTCTCTGCAGTAATTATTTTTTCTCAATTTTTTTAGTTTATCGTCTTATTAATATCTATCTATCTATCTATCTATCTATCTATCTATCTATCTACCAGTGATCAATATACAGAGGTTTAATTGGTGGTTAGGTTAGGTCCTCTCAGTAGTTAGATATTAATAAATGAACGTAAATAATATATATCTATGTGAGAATTTATCAGGGTGTAGCGACGCCAATAAACCAATACAGGACATTAAAGTGGTCAGAGTCATACCAGGCGCCTCTCACACGGCCCCTCTAAGCGACACCTCACCTCTCCACACCTCTCTTATGACACCTCTCGCGCTCCTATGTCCTTAAGATACCTCTCGCACTGATCTACTATAGCCTCTCTCTCTCTCTCTCATAATGCTTTTTAAATCGCCTTCTCTTTCTTCTTCTTGCAACTAACAAGCAACGACTACCCCTATTTTTACTTCCAAATCTCTCAACTCCTCCACCTCTCCTTTCACTTTTTTCTTTGTCCCTCTCCCCTCTTCCTCTCATTGTTCCTTTTACACAATAGTTTCTACCTAATGAATTTATAAGAATTTTTCGTCTCTATATACAGCCAGTGTGAGTATAACAAAGCAACACACGGATCAGTCGTTCATAAACACAGGTGATTCAGAAACAGGATTGAAGTCGACGACGCAAAGATAGGAAAGAGAGCTGCATCAGAGGACGATTTATAAATACATTTAACGGGGGATTTAGAAAGTGAACACAGAGGCCAGAGACGTGGAAAATGATATTCAATACAGATAAATAGAAAGACTTATTCTTTGGAGACAAAAATACCAAACATGAATATATTAAGAAAAGTAGATAAAAAGACCCCAAAGACACAAGACAACAATAAGCTACAGAAGAGCATTGTTAGCCATCATAGCTACAGACTTTGAACACTAAAAACTTAAAACAATGCTCAGTCTCTAACGTGCAGTACTCGGACCATATAAAGATTACTAACAATAAATTACCATCAGGGTAGTTTCTCGTCACACCACCTACGTCATCCCTCCATAATGACCATCCAGTGACCAACATTGGGCCCCTCTGAGGACATCATTAAACCGATGTGTATATCAGGACGACCTACACAAGCTCTATGTTAAAGTAGGTAATATCGCGAGTTAATGTTACAGTAAGTAAACAAAGCCAGCGTGAATATCTCTCCTCGTTCACTGTATGATCACTTCAACTGTTCATCTCCCTGCACTTGTGGATGTGTGCCTCGCCTCGCCTCGCCTCGCCTCGCCTTGCCTCGCCTCTCCTCTCCTCTCCTCGCCTCGCCTCGCCTCACCTTGCTCCAACCTGCCGGAGAA